TGCCTATACCTATTTGTTCCAGAGTGTTTCCTGCCCTTTCTGTAGTAACTTCAGAGTTTCAGGTCTGATATTTAGGTCCTTGATCATTTTGAGTTGATACTATACAGGGTGATAGACATGGATCTAGTTTCAGTTTCTTGCAGATGACCACTTTCCCAGCAACATTTGTTGAAGAGGCTGTCTTTTCTCCATCATATATTTTTGGCATCTTTGTCAAAAATGAGGAGGATATAGTTGTGTGGGTTCATATCTGGGTCTTCTATTCTGTTCCACTGGTCTTCATGTCTGTTTTTGTGCCAGTGCCATGCTGTTTTTTGTTGCTATTACTTTGTAATACAGTTTGAAGTCGGGTATTGTGATACCTCCAGCATTGCTCTTTTTGCTGAGTATTGCCGTGGCTATTTGTGGTCTCTTGTGTTTCCAAATGAATTTAGGCTACATTTTTCAATCTCTGTGATGAAAATCATTGGGATTTTGATGGGAATTGCATTAAACGTGTAGATTGCTTTTGGTAGTAGGCCATTTTTATTAGGTTGAGTCTACAGATCCATGAGCATGGGAGGTTTTTCCATCTTCTGTAGTCTTCCTTGATTTCTTTCATCTGGAGTTTGTAATTCTCCTTGTAGAGGTCATTCACATCCTTTGTTAAATTTACTCCTAGGTATTTGATTTTTTTTTGAGGCTATTGTGAATGGAATTGTTTCCATGTGTTCCTTCTCAGTTCATTGTTGGTGCATAAAAAAGCTAATAACTTTTGCAGGTTGCTTTTGTATCCTGCCACCTTACTGTAGCTGTTTATGATGTCTAAGAGTTTCTGGGTAGAGATTTTTGGGTTTTTAAGGTATAGGATCATATCGTCTGCAAATAAGGATATTTTGAGTTTCTTTACCTAATTGTATTCCTTTTATTTCTTCTTCTTGCCTACTTGCTCTGGCTAGAAATTCCAGTACTATGTTGAATATGAGTGGGGAGAGTGGGCATCCTTGTCTCATTCCTGATTTTAGGGGAATGGTTTCAGTTTTTCACCATTAAGAATGATGTTGGCTGTAGGTTTGTCACATATAGCCTTTACAATGTTGAGGTTCATTCCCTCTGTTCGTAGTTTTCTTATAGCTTTTATCATGAAGTGGTGTTGGATCTTGACAAAGGCTTTTTCTGCATCTATTTTGATGATCAAGTGGTTTTTGACTTTGGTATTACATTTATAGATTTGCATATGTTGAACCACCCCTGCATCCCTGGGATGAAGCCAACTTGGTCTTGGTGAATGATGTTTCTGATGTGTTGTTGGATTTGTTTTGTCATTATTTTATTGAGGATTTTTGCATCAATATTCACTAGGGAAATTGCCCTGTAGTTCTCCTTTTTGGAGATGTTTTTGTCTGGTTTTGGGATAAGTGTGATACTGGCTTCAGAAAATGAGTTCAGCAGTGTTCCTTCCCATTCAATTTCATGGAACAGTTTAAGGAGAGTTTGTAGTAGTTCTTCTTTAAGTGTCTGATAGAATGCAGCAGTGGATCTGTCAGGTCCTGGACTTTTATTTTTTGGGAGGCTCTTGATGGCAGCTTCAATTTCTTTTTATGTTATAGATCTATTCAGGTAATTAATATCCTTTTGTTTCAATTTTGGTGGTTGTAAGTTTCTAGAACTCTGTCTATTTCTTTGAGATTTTCACATTTATTAGATTATAGGCTCTCAAAGTCGTCTCTGATGATTTCCTGGATTTCTGTGGTATTTGTTGTTATCTCTCCTTTTGCATTTCTGATTTTTCTGATTTTGTTTTTTTTACTCCTCATTTTCATTGCCAGGGGTATGTCAATGTTATTTATATTTTTGAAGAACCAGCTTTTTTGTTTCATTGATTCTTTGTAATTTTTTTTTGTTTCTATTTCATTGATTTCAGCCCTTATCTTAATTATTTCTTTCCTTCTGCTTGTTTTGGGATTTGTTTGTTCTTGTTTTTCTAGGGGTTTCAGCTGTAGTGTTAGGTCATTGATTTGAGATCTTTCTGTCCTTTTGATATATGCACTCATGGCTATAATCTTTACTCTTAGGACTGCCTTTGCTGTATCCCATAGGTTCCTGTAGATCATGTTTTCATTTTCATGAACTTCCAAGAACCTTTTAATTTCCTGTTTTATTTCATCAGTGACCCATTCATCATTGAGTAAGGTGTTGTTCAGCTTCCAATTGTTTGTGTGTTTTTTACTGCTGTTTTTATTGTTGATTTCTTGTTTTAATGCATTGCGGTCAGACAGAATGCATGGGATTATTTCTATTTTCTTATATTTGCTGAGGCTTGCTTTGTGATCTAAGGTGTGATCAATTTTGGAAAAGGTTCCATGGGCTTCTGAGAAGAATGTATATTGTGCAGAATTTGGATGAAATATTCTGTAGACATCAGGTAGGTTCATTTGATCTATGGTGTGATTTAGTTATAGGATTTCTTTATTGATTTTTTTGTTTGAATGACCTATCTATTGGTGATAGGGGGTATTAATGTCTCCCACTACCTCTGTGTTGTCTATATATGCTTTTAGGCCCTTCAGAGTATTATTGGTGAAATTGGGTGCATTGACGTTGAGTGCATATAGGTTGGTATTTCCTTTTGGTGTACTTCCCCTTCTAGCTCGTTTGATCAAAGTAGGTTTGAAGTCTACTTTGTCTGATATAAGTATTGCTACCCCTGCCTGTTTACATGGACCATTGGCTTGGTAAATCTTCTTCCAGCCTTTCACTCTCAGCCAGTGCTTATTTCTATTGATGAGATGGGTTTCCTAGGCAGCAGATTGTTGGACCTTCCTTTTTAATCTAGTTTGCCAATCAGTGTCTTTTGATGGGAAAATTTAGTCCATCAACATTCAATGTTAGTATTGATAAGTACGTGGTGATCCCTGTCATGTAGTTGTTTTTGTTGATTAAGGGTTTGATTGTGTGTAGATGCATCAGTGTTACTCTTTGCTTTCTTGCCTTTTCTTCTCCTGTGGTTTGGTATTACCTGCCCTTTCATGGTTTTGTTTGCTTTCATTTTCTGTGGGCAGAATTCCTTGGAGAATCTTTTGTAGTGGAGGCTTGGTGGTCATATGTTGTTTTAGTTTCTGCTTATCATGAAAGACTTTTACTGCTCCATCTATTTTGAATGATAGTTTTGCTGGGTAGTGTGTCCTAGGGTTGAAGTTATTTTCATTCAGTGCTTGGAAGACCTCACGCCATGCTCTTCTTACTTTTAATGTTTCTGTTGAGGAGTCTGCTGTGATTTTGATGGGCTTGCCTTTGTATGTTATTTGTTTTTTCTCTCTTACAGCCTTCAATATTCTTTCTCTAGTTTCTGTACTTGTTGTTTCAATGGTAATATGTCATGGGGTAGTTCTATTTTTATCAGGTCTGTTCGGTGTTCTGGAGGCTTACCTGAATAGGCATAGTTTTCTCTAGATTTGGGAAGTTTTCTGTTATTATTTTGTAGAATATATTACACATTCCTTTTGGTTGCACCTCTTCTCCTTCTTCAATGCCCATGATTCTCAGGTTTGATGGAGTCAGTGAGTTCTTGCATTTACTTTTCGCAGTCTTGTGTTGTTTAACTAATAGTTCTTCAGTTTTTCCTTTAATTGTCATTTCATCTTCAAGTTCTGAGATCCTATCTTCTGTTTGTTCTATTCTGGTGGAATGCCATTCCATTTTGTTTTGTTTTTCTGTTTCATTCTTTTTTCTGAGGTTTTCCATATCTTGGGTTACTTCCTCTTTAATATTGTCAATTTTGACCTCAATTCATTTATCTCACGTTCATGGTGGTCTCAGTTTCAGTTTGGAGTTTATTTAGAGCTTCTATGATTTCATTTATTTGTTTTTATGTTTTCTCATATTCTTTATTTTTGTTCTCTTGGAATTTCTTGAGTGCCTTGTGTACATTTTGGTTGACCATGTCTAGTGACATCTCTATGAAATTCCCATTAATTAGTTGTAGGATTTCTTCTTTCATCGTGTTCTTGTGGGCTTTGTTGGGTTCCTTGATATAATTTATTTTGTTTTGTTGGAGTCTGGGTCTGGGTATCCGTTTTCTTCATTTCACTCTAAATCCTGCAGTACTTTATTATTTGGTGGGGAATAGTTTTCTTCCCTTTTTCTTCTTCCCATATTTCCAAGAGGTAATGCTTTTATCCCTGAACTATGTGTAATTTAGTATTAGCTGGGTAGCAGTATTAATACTAACAAAACCAAGGGAGAAAGAAAAAAAAGAGAGAGAGATGGAAAGATGAAAGGAATAGAGTAGAGGAAAAGGGAAAAAAATGGTAGAGATGGTGGATGATCAAACAGTAAACCAGGCAGCAAATCCCTTAAAGAAAGGAAAAAATAAAAATTAAAAATAGAAAAAAAAATCACCAGTTCTGGAGCAGTAGAATTGCAATGTTAGTTGTTGTGATGCTAGTTATTTAGCATCCAGACCTGTGTGTGTGTGTCTCTTAGGTAGGTTTGGATCCTTCCTGTGGCAATTGGATGGTGGGTGGGGTCCCATGGGCCTATGGGTGGAGGCCTTTAGCTGAAGTGAAGCAGGCCTTTGGAGTGTGGGCTTGGCATGCCTAAAGGGCACAGGCTGGCAGAGTGGAGATCTGCATGTCTATGGATCCCTGGTTTGACAGGCTTGGGGGGCACAACTGAGCAGAATGTGTGTGTTTTGGTCTCCAGCTTGGCAGGCCTTAGGGGCACAGCCTTGCAGAGTGAATATTATGCAGTGCTGTGTTGGCTTTGGGGATGTGGTCAGAAAAGCAGAGATCATGCAGGGCTGGGGATCATGGCCCAGTGAGACAGAGCTCCTGTAGGGCTGTGCAGGCCTGGCGGGCATGGCCTGGCATTGATAGCAAATGTCTGTGGATCCCTGGTCTTAAGGGCTCATCGCATGGAGATCCTGCAGGTCTGAAGGTTGGGAGTTTGGGGTAGCACAACTCTGGTGGGGCAGAAGAGCAGGGGTGGAGGATCAGAGATCCCATGGTGTACACGGGCCTATGGGGCAGGTCTTGGCATGCAGTGCCTGCTATTCTTTTGGTATATGGTGTGGTGGAGAGGCCTCCAAGGAGCTAAGGGTTCAGAGTGCTGATGTTTCAGCTCTCCCTGGTGTTTTACCTCATTCAAGCAAGTCTCCAGATTGTTGTCAAAGTCCCTGGATCATGGAGGTCAGAAGGTTTGTGGCTGTAGTTTGGTCGCCATCTTGGATCTCAAAAAACAACCAAAAATTTGAATGTGGTTGATATGCTCACTGTATGGGAGCAAATATAGTAATCTTAAACTGGCATAGGACACTATGGGGGGGGAACTAGGAAGTAGTGAAGAAGTCTGGTAGCAATGAACCAATTTGGGTTGTAATACATATATGCATGTAAACAACTCAAGGAATCTCCTTGTATAACTATCTTCATCTCCAACTGGCAAAATCACCATGTTTTTCTTATTATCTTTTATGCTTTTTCTTTAACAAAGTTGGAGAAAAACAGGGTAATAGGTGCAGGGGTGGGGGTAGCCCCCAAAAGGTATATACATGTAAGTAAATGTAAAAATGATAAAATAATTTTTTAATTTTTTATTTTTTAAATTTTATATATATATTTTTTTCTTTTATTATTCATATGTGCATACAAGGCTTGGGTCATTTCTCCCCCTGCCCCCACCCCCTCTCTTAACACCCACTCCGCCCCCTCCCTCCCCCCACCCCCTCAATACCCAGCAGAAACTATTTTGCCCTTATTTCTAATTTTGTTGTAGAGAGAGTGTAAGCAATAATAGGAAGGAACAAGTGTTTTTGCTGGTTGAGATAAGGATAGCTATACAGGGAGTTGACTCACATTAATTTCCTGTGTGTGTGCGTGTGTGGGATTTGATCTCATCCCAGCTAGAATGGCTATCATCAACAGGACAAAAAACAACAAATGTTGGCAAGGATGCAGGGGAAAAATCAACATTTTTGGTGGGAATGTAAATAAGTCCGGCCACTAAGAAATTAGTATGGAGGTTCTTCGTATTAATATGAATATTATATTCATATAATATGACTACCAGCTCTACCTCATAGGGTTATAGAGAAAAAAAGTCAGATTGATATCAATATAAGTGCATATAAATGTTATCCCAGCATTATCCACAGTAGCTAAATTATGTAATATCCTAGGTGCCAATTAATGGATGGATGGATAATGAGCTACTGCACATGTAGAATGCAATATTTTAAAAACTATAATGTAATTTTTTTATTTTGCATTTTGTTTTTTTCTTATTTTTTTTTACAATATAAAATATTTGAATTTACACTGTCCACCATTCTCTTTCATCCCCCAGCACCCATTCCTGGGATCATTACAACAGGTCTCATTTTTCCATTTACATAAATATGTAGTATTAGTCATAGAGAATGAAATTATGTTGTTGGCAGAGAAGTGGATGGAACTGTAGATCATCATTTTAATTGTTTCAACATTGGCAGGACTGGGGTTTGAACTCAGGGCTTTGCACTTCCAAAGCAGACCCTCTACCGCTTGAGCCATACCTCCAGTCCATCATCATTTTAATTGAAATAAGCTAGACTCAGAAGGAAAAAAATCACATTCCCTCACAGTGGGAACTAGAGTTTAACAAATAGCCATGAAAAAAGAAGTGGCTATTAGGAAGAGCAGGAGGAGCACCAGAAGAGCAGTGGGATATAGAGAGACAGAAATGGGAATTGATCAACAATGTACTTAAACTATATGTATGAAATTATGATTATGAAGCTCAAAGTAAGTATATGGAAATCAAAAAACCTTTTTAAAAAGTGTAAAATGGTTGGTGAATATGATCAAAATATAATTACATGTGTGGAGAAAAGTCATATGAAATTCATTATCATGTAAAATTAATATATATTAATAAAATACAGAAAAACAAAAACTATTTTTATTTATATTATTTTTTTAATTTTTCAAGACAATGATACACTCTACATGGTTAACATGCTTCATGATTATGTCCATGGTTATGTATACCTTTCTCAAAATTTGAAGGCCGCTAAAGACAAGTGCCCACGACCTGGGTGGGTATTCTGTGTGAACCTGACTCTTATAAGAGTGGCAGGGAATGAGAAATAAGACACACACAGATGTACAGACAAAACAGAAAAGCTGGGGACTGGAAGGCTGCACGTACCTTCTGGGGTATGTGTGTGCCTAACTCAGCCAGAGTGTTTATTTTCATAGGTCAGAACAAGGAAGAGACTCAGGTAAAAATCAAGTTTTAACAATTCTTGATGCAAGGAAAAGGAATCAGGTTTGGGAAGCTGATTTTCCTAAGGCTGTATAGGGTTAATTACAACACATCTGTTCTGGAATCATCAAGGCATGCAGGACACGTTATCTAAAGTATTGATTCATCTGGCATCAGGGAGTCTCATAACTGTTCTGGTACTTTATCTAGTTTTGCATCACGGGGTGGTATGTGCACACAACATGTTGTATTCTTCAAGGAGATGTGAGAACAAAGGTCAAGACACCAGATACTGGGAAAAATATGGTAAGAGAGGCTGTGCTGTGCAAACTCAATGATATCCCAGTCCAGGGTTCAAGCCTGTTTCCCAACAAGCAAGTATAGGAGTTTCATATTAAATGACTATAAAGGAAATTTCACATACTTAAGTGAGTACTTATTTGCATGAAGTCACAAAGTCAGAAAGTCAAGGAATTAAAAAGATCCATGAAACTAACAGGAAAATAATAATATTTGGGATTACTGTGCTTTGAATTTATGTTAATACTTGATAACATGGTCTTATCTCATGACTCTATATCTTGTCTCTTGTGTAAAATTCAATAAAGTATATTTTATAATTAGGAATTTCTTTCAATTAGAAAGAAATTCATTAACAGTAGGATAATATTTTTCTATATATTCTTTGAAGACTAGGTTATGTATTAATCTGAATATGGTGTTTTGTCTTTAATGTTGTTGGTCTTGTAATTTTTTTTTACTGGAGCATCTCTGCTTGATTCCTTCTACTATAACAAATATTTAAAATAATCAACTTATAAAAAGAAAATGCTTATTTTGTTTCGGACAGTTTGAGGTTCCATTTGATCCCATTTGTTTTTTCTGTGGTGAGACCAAATAATATCACAAAGGAAGAATGTGGAAGAACAAAATGCTTAACATATTGCTAGGAAAAAACTAGAATGGAGGAAGAGGCTTGGGACTTACTATTTTGAAGACATGTTCCCAATGACCTGGAGGCCAAACACTAAAGCCTTTCTTCCTAAATTTTTCTTCGTGTCCAGTAGGAGCACCTTGTATACTGACTCCTTCAAATACAGGTTTTTGGGGAAAAAGCAACATCTAAACTATAGTATTAGCATGGGTGAGTATAAGAAAATGCCATTTTTTTCTTTTCTCTTCTTTTCTTATACAAAATTGGAAAACAGGAGTTTAGGACAGGTCCTGCCTAGGGGAAGGTAGGTACAGTGAGAGGCAGGAAGTGACAGGAAAGAGGTAAGAGGGTGAATATGAAAAAATGTGTTTTGCATCATGTATTTTACTAAGATTATAATAACCATATTAGCAATAAATATACATAAAATATAAAAAACTAAATGTGCTCACTAACAGTTCATTATTTCTGTTCATGGAGAAATATTCAATAACTATGTTTGTGGAAAGTGTTGTCACAGGTTTAAGTGGATTTAGCCAAGTTATTTTTATCAATATGTGAAAGTCATATAATGGTAGTGAGGTGCATCATTTTAAAATGTATGATGTGCATTTATGTGCATGCTGTAAATATCAAAATGAAACCATATTATATAAGTAATATAAGATAATAAAAAAGAAAATGTTTAAAGTCAAGTGGAATGTTAGAGAGGACTTAAATGAAAAACAAGGAGGTGAATAAGTCCAGATTCCTTAGCTCATGCAGGCAACTGCAGCTTCATGGGAAACAGTGGTAGAATGATTGTGGTTTGAGTCCAGCCTCTGTAAAAAGTTATTAATATCTTTCTCAGTGAACAAAGTGGGCATGGTTAAACACAGCTCTAATCTCAGTTACCTAGATGCACAGATATGAGCATTATGGTTCAAGGCAAACACTGAGCAGGCATGACAGCCTATCTGAAAAATCACAAAAGCAAAAAATGCTGAGGGCATGAGTCAAGTAGTAGACTACATGCCTGGCAAACATGAGGCCCTGAGTTAAACCCTCCAAACAAATAAACAAAACAAAAGGAGGGAAATAAGAAACCAGAGAATGAACAAACCCCTAGAAGATAACTAACACATAACAAGGTTTTCTGATGATGAATGAACAACTTTGATTTAGTGTTCAAATAATGCAGTACTAGGACTGTTATAATCTTCTAATTACTTAAAGCAATTTGACCCATGGTTTAGAATGAAATAAAATATATTTGGCCGCATTATTTTTAAAATAGTATGATTATCTTTGAATTTTTTTTACAATAATAATACAATGGAGTTTAAGAGTGGTAACTCTGTACATGCATACAGTACTGTAACAAGAGCATCCTCACCCTTGTATCTCGTTCTTTCTCCGCTCAATTTCCTATAATATGAATCATTATCTTCTCAAAGTGAAAGGGATATGATGACATATAACTACTTCCTTAACGCTTTTGACTTTTCCTTACCTTGACCACAAGCTAATTATTAGTAATTTTTTGCCTTCAAACACTATTCATTTGAGTCTACTGGAAGTAGTTACACATATAAGGAGATGAGAAAAGCACAATTGAATAATGAAATACATCTAAGATGATTGAATTTGCAACAACTGAGAAGCATTACTAACGTGTATGGACTATGAAATGAGAATAAATATTCTGCGTGCTTAAATTCAGAATATAGGGAGAAGTCTATGTGAATGTTGTTTCCTTTTTCTAACACACTTTTCTATTTAAAAAGATATCTAAGCAATGTAAAAATGCAAAATATAACATCCGTATCAGAATTCCTCCTCATGAAACTCTCAGAGGATCCAGAGCTGCATCCTGTTCTTTTTGGAGTGTTCTTGACTATGTACCTGGTCACAGTGCTTGGGATTCTGCTCATCATCCTGACCATCATCTGTGACTCTCACCTCCATACCCCTATGTACTTCTTCCTCTCCAATCTGTCCTTAATTGATATCTGTTTCACTTCTGTCACAGTCCCGAATATGATTGTGGACCTCCAAAATAGCAGAAGAGTCATCTGCTATGTGGACTGTATGACACAGATGTCCCTTTTAATATTTTTTGGATGTACAGATAGTCTGCTTCTCACTGTGATGGCTTATGATCAGTTTGTGGTCATCTGTCATCCCCTGCATTACTCAGTCATCATGAATCTTCAACTCTGTGCCATCTTAGTACTGGTGTATTTTTTGTTTGATCTTTTGGACTCCCAATTGGATAATTTGATTTTCTTACAATTTTCCTACTTCAAGGATGTGAAATTTCTAATTTCTTCTGTGGTCCTTCTGAACTTCTTAGTCTTGGCTGCTCTGATACCTTTACCATTAATGTAATCATGTATTTTCTTGTTGGCGTCTTTGGATTTCTTCCTATCTCAGGGATACTTTTCTCATATTATAAAATTATATTTTCAATTCTAAGAGACACATCAACAGATGGGAAGTATAAAGCCTTCTCAACATGTAAGTCTCACCTATCAAATGTGTGCCTATTTTATGGAACATCCCTTGGAGTATACCTCAGTTCAGTTATATCACATTCTCTAAGAAAAGTTATGGTGGCCTCAGTGTTGTACACTTTGGTTGCTCCTATGCTTAATCCCTTCATCTACAGCCTGGGGAACAGGGATGTTAGAGGTGCCATGAGGAAGATTATCAGGAAAACATTATATTCTGAGAAACTGTGACTCATTGTGTATACACATCATAAAAATCAGTACAAGTAAGCATCTCTTCATATAAAGACTGGCTCCTTGTTTGCATTATTTTTGAAAATTATATTCTTTGATGAAGCATAATAGTGTAGTGGTTTTCATGTATTGGGGAAGGATCAATGGGGTTTTTGTAAATGGGCCCAGCTTTGGAGCTTGCTATGATGAAAAACTTTTTGGGATAGATTGTGCAGATTGTTGAATAACAACATGAATTCACTAAATGATTTAAGAGTATGAGCATAAAAATATGAAAAGAGCCATATCCTTTAAGGGGTATTTTTTTTGTTTTCTTCTTTCTCAAATGATACTACGAAGTCTTAAGTTTTGGTGTAACATGAATAAATTTAGTTTATTATGGGCACTGTACATTCAGCATCAAAAGTCATATAGTAATCAATAATCAGACTGTTTGTCAATTCCTTCACATTTTTGGGTTCTTTCCAGTGAGCTTCATAGATATAAATCTTCCACTCACAGTTTTGTGCATAAGGAAACTCCTCTCTGACACTACTAATGGTACTAATCCTGATGAAAAAGACTAAGCATTGATTGGTCAACTAGTAAGGGAGTTATTTTGGATGAAAATCTTTGCCCATGACATAACAGAGTAGTAGCATAATTCAGTACGTTCTGAATGACACACTGGATTTAGGTAGGTTCAAAAGAATAACTGTCCTCATGATGATGACAAATTGGACTTTTTGAATAGGAAGATGGGAGAGAACTGGTGGGCAGCATTTCAGTTATGTAATTTTTATGCTCTTGGTTCTTCCTTAAGTATAATCTTATTCAATTTAGATTTCAACCCACATTGGTTATACTTTCAATAGATATATTTCTTACAGTAGCAGAAAAGTTGTCCCTCCAAACATTCATAAATGATACAAAGGGATTTAGAAGATGAACCTCAGAATGGAGAGTAGGATAATAGAAAATATCATCATGAGGCATTACTGATGCTTTCCTAAATGCTGAGTTCTGCATTATAAGAAATGTTTTCATTCCCTCCTCTGGCTATATGTGCTTCCATTATTATGACTTTAGAGAATATTAAACAATATATTGGCATAAATTTATTAGGCAGTTAGGTAGCAATAAGTTGAGTTGTGTTCAAATTGGGCTATCATATAATGAACAGAGGACACCTTTAAGGAGAATCCTGGCAGCTTTTTCCCTTGACAATCCAGCCAGCCATTTCACTTCCTGTCACTCCAGAATATAAGCCTTGTTTACTATGTTCTTGCTTTGGGGGTTCCTGTTAGATCAATGGCATAAAAGTGGGTTGCTACAATCATACCAAATGTAGGAAGGATCACTAGAGGTCACAAAAACAAATCACTGAAAGAACCAGTGCACATCAATTCAACCCAGGCCACTCCCAGACTGTCTTGGATGTACTTCCACCTGTAACCTCATCTTATATTCATGAAATAATACACTAAATCTCAAAATGGAGCATAAAGTCAGGTCTTGGTTTCACTCCTAAGCAGGGAACTGGAAAGTGTGGCAAAATATACCTCAAATGCACCTGTAATTAAGGCCTCTTGACTTTTGTAAACAAGTTTCTGTTGACTTGGAAACAATGTGTCAGATGAGTGCATCATGGTTCACACCTTTCATGTAAGCACTTTGTTTACAAACTGAGAAAGGAAGATTACAAATTTAAGTCCAGCCTGAGCTAAATAGAAAGATTGTTTCAAAAAGCAGGAAAAAATTATTACTACAATTCCAGATACCACTTGCTTTTGAACCTTGTTTGTTACTCTTATTATCTCATCTTAGAAGAGCCAGTTTTCAGTATTTATGAGACTAAACATTATCATTTGAGCTAATGTCACAGTCATAAAACTGCATTTGTTTAGGAAGTAACAGAGACTAGTTACTCCATGTATTGATATGATGTAATGATTAGATAAAATAAGGGTAATATAAAATTTAAATATTATTTAAATATTGTAAGTAATGTTGAGGAGGTTAATAGATCACTAAACCAATTACCACATTCTTGTTTTTGTGTCAGATATTTTATAGTTATATAAGTATATGCCATATATTTGGAAAGGAAAGAGTACCTTTCTTTTACTTATTATAGAAATTCAATGATGCCTGTTTGACACAGAGAAGTATCAAAAATTTTTAAAAAATCTGGAAATACAGTTCATTACCAAATAAGAAAGTAGCCCAGTGCTGTGGCTCATGTCTGTGAACCAAACTACTTGGGAGGTAGACATACTAGCATTGTGATTCATGGCAAGTCATGGAAAATGCTTAGTAAGACTGTGTCTCAAAAAAAACAATCCCAGTATTATGGTCATTATCTCTAACTGAAGTTAAATCAGGAGGCATATGTAGGATGATCTCAGACTGAGACCAGTATCAGGAAAGTGTTAGACCCTATCAGAAAAAAATTAGGAAAAGCAAAATGGGCTCAGGTTGCGGTTTATGTGGTACAGTGTTTTCCTAGCCACTACGAGGTCCTGAGAGCAAAATCCCAGTGCCACTAAATAAGCAAAATCTCTGCTATACGTTGAATAGCATGTCCACTGGTTGTCAAAATTGACAGTAATCAGTGTGAGTTTGAGTCTATTGTTGCTTTCCTCTCTTCTCATTCATTAGTTTCAGAAGTGTCTCATAGAACTGAACTAAAGATAACACTTACCTTGTTTTTGTACATGTGGTGGGCACATGGGCATATGATTCTATTCAGCAGTGTCTACAGTAGTCAATTATTCAAACGTGGCAGAGATTTTTATAGAAAGAAAAAGAAAAAAGATGGATAAAGAAAAGTGTTCAGGTAAACGTGGCTTAGGCTTAGACAAATTTTAAAATTCACATTATTCACGGATTGAGAGGTATTTGATAACTGAATTCATCAACAAACTCAGTATTTTCATAATAATGAATTTATTTCTTTAAAAAGCAGCAATTACTATATGTAGATAGAAAGAGAAATAGTTAGATGATAGAGTGATGCATAGATATATAGATGACAGATAGAAAAAGAAATATACTTCCAACCTTCCTCTGGGTGCTACAGGTGTTGCAGAAATGGACACTAATCTACAATTCCATTAAGAAGTTTGAGCACAGAAGGGTGGAAAGAGTCTCAGAAATTCTGAAAGAGGACTAGGTCAATATTATGAGACTAAAGTTTTCATTTCCTGACTTCTATCTCATGCCTCTGGAAGTATCATTCTTAATGCTAGATGAGATTTCTCCAAAAGTGATCCTAGAGGGATTATTATTAGACAGATTTTTGGGGCTATTTTTGATAATTTAACTTAAGAACAAAGATTTGTAATTGTTAATAACAGATTTATTTTGTGGTTCTATATTTTAAATTTTTTTGTTATTCATTTATTCACATGTGCATACATTGGGTCATTTCTCCCCCCTGCCCTCTTCCCCCATCCTCTGCCCCATTCCCCCCTTATCTCCAATTTTGTTGGTAGGAATACATAAGCATAATAAGGAAGACAAAGCATTTTCACTAGTTAAGGATAGCTATACAGAAAGATTCTTAGCATTGCTTCCATGTAGAAACGTGTTACAACCCAAGTTGATTCATCTCCCACTGATCTTTATACTGGTTCCTGATCCCCTTCTCATGTTAACCTCTGTAATCCTACAGAATTAACAATGTGCCTGCTCCAGGCAAAACTGGCTATGGTTTTCAATGAATTGCTTCAGTTTATTTATGTTTGTAAGATTATTGATGTCCTCACAGCATCCCTTTACTGTTTCATATATTGATTTCATAGTCAGTTCTAAATTTTCTATCATATTGTTATATGTATCTATTCTTATTCTCTTGATTGGTCTTGCCAGAGCTTTATCACTTTATTAATTTTTCAAGATTATCAAAATTTGTGCTAACACTTTCTACTATTTATTTCTATTTAACTTAAGTTTAGTCTTTATTACCATATTCAACAATGTTTGGATTAAATATAGTTTCACTTTTCTGAATTCCTAAATTCTATGCTTACCTACTATATCTATAATTTTTTCTTAAAATTAATGATATTGTTTATTTCTATATATTTGAATTTCAGTTGGTTATGTAATGTAATGGGATGAGGTTGCAGTAAGGATACTTACTCAGAATATTAGGGAAGTCACTGTTAGACCAGGTTTTGTCTCACATTTTCCTTAGTGATCACACATACACGTTTGTTTGGCAATGTTCCAATTCATAATTGTTCATCAAAGGTGAGTATAAGTAGCATTCTCTGTCAATCCCTAAATATCCCAAAATGAACTAGAAATTACATTCACAACCAGCTGAAGAATATGTTCAAGATCATTAAAAAGTAAAAATTTATTGTTTACCTTGGATATAATGTAAGGTTAAAATACTTCTAAAAATAGAAAGTATTAAGAGAAAATGTATGGTGGCAATAAATAACAAGAAATGGTGAAGTAATGATTATTTTGAAATGAGAAAAGAAAAATAAGACCACTCAGGATTAAAAGACTTGTGTAATGGATAGGGAAAGTGAGAATCATATGGTGATTACTAAAAATAAATCCAAGTGACTATTATGTAACTCTGAAGCCAATAATAATAACCTCCATTAAATTAGAGCAATACTGAGGTAAAATGAATAAACAAAAAGCAGATAGACACAGAGTACATACAAAACGTGTCTACAGCTTACATAGTTCTTATTGTCCATGTTTGGTTATTCTGCATTTTTCCATTTCTATGAACCAAGGACTCAGCACAGGTATTGAAATTATGCTGTTTTACTGAAAAACGTTATGAAGATGCTCTTGATGTAACTATTCTCAAGCAGGCTGTAGATAAAGGGTTTCAGCATGGGGGGAGGGTGGTGTATATCACTGAGGCCGTTCCACCATACTTTGGAATATACTCCAAACCTGGTTTCACAAAATAAGCAAACAACTGACAGGTGATAACCACAGGTGAAGAAGGCTTTACACTTCCTGCATACTGATGAAACTCTCAC